TGCTAATTTGTCTTTGGAAGGAAAAGCCTGTGAATTTTTCCCACATTGTTGGTTTTTTTTTCCGAATAGTCATCTTCTTTATGCCTGAATTTGTTGTCATTAAGATTTGAAAAGAATTCTGTCTCTTCCCAGACTCAGAAATCTCACTTGATGACAACCTTAGCTGCGGCAAAGCGGCTCATAGAATGGCTCTCAGTTTTCCAAGTACAAACGTTTAGTTCATAGTTCTGTTATCTCTTGACCGATTTGAGATCTAATTACACTTATGGACTCAGGAGGTCAAATCCTTTCGATTGATGTACTTACCACGCCCAATGTCACATAGATTAATGTACTCTAATCCTGCCTAAAAGAATTTCAATATGAGGGTAGGCTAGTAGAGATCCTGATAAGTAATAAAACTGAATCAGATATACGCGCCCCTCACGTTTGGTATTGCTGGCGCACAAAAACATAGTTTACAAAAAGAAGAAGAAAAAAAAAACGTCTCCTAGGTTAATTTGCTTTATCATGCCTAAAAGAATTTCAAGTGCCGCAGCTAATGAGAATTCCCTCTTGCTAATTGTAGAATAGTTTGAGAGAACGTCCAAATTCCAGAGCAGCTGATAATGGGCATAAATAATTCACTCTAAAGCAACCTGTCGACCTAGCTAACAATGCCACCATAGCGTGGAAACATCCATGTTACTGCGATCTAAAACATCATGTGGCATTTCTCCTCATTCAGTGTCATGCAGCACATCTTCACATATGACTTGAAATGTATTTTTTACGCTAAACCTTCGCAACTTGTTTTTCATAATAGTTCTTATATATATATATATACTTATGAAGTACGTTATATGAAAACGATTTTGGAGTGTTAACACGTCGTTACAGTCCATGTCGCCACGTCCAGACATGATATCTCAGACGGCTGCACATTTTAACAATAGCCTTGCAGAGTAATCTTCGCTGCATAAGGCTATCATTTCGAAAGTACACCACGACTCCATTCGTGGCTTTCTTATTATATCTAGTGTGTGAGGACGACCGTTTTCCAGTGCTCGTGTCAAAAGTCCGTTTGCACAGAAATTCATAAACGACTTGATTAGTATGTCGTCATATGAAATAGAATAAACATCTGTTTCATTCTCCAGCTGGTTTAAGTATGGGACGGTTGAACGGATACGTTGTGGAAGCAACTTATGCACTTGTGACTTATGTCGCTTTTCCAGACGGAGATCATTCTTCATTATCTTGTGGACTGCTTCCCGGAGCATGTGTACAGCTTTTGCCACTGATTTATCTCTTCATGGTTTCTCACATATACAAGACGGCACATTTTGTACGACTTGTTGTAGGTTTCTTTCTGAATGTTCTTTACACTCCAAATTGATCGATATTCTTATGTTTTCTGATGCCATTAAGTACAAAAAATATCCTCGTCTTGGAAATTCTAAGTATTCGATCTAAACACATTTTTTTTTTTATCTGAGTGTACGAATATTTTGAGTCAGAAGAGCTGTTACATGACCACCCGAAAAGCAATCAATATTCGATGGCATCACATTAACTACGAAAAGCCAAACAATGTCAGAATGTAACTCTAATATATTCCGTCCCATCGTGAGTTGTATATTCAAAATTGTTTTAATATACAGAACTCAACCCTCTGCATACCATTAAGAATATTAATTCTTACCTAAATACACTTTGCTCTCTACTGGAATTGCGGCACAGATAAGAACGTTTGAAAGACAGGAGTGATTAAACAGCGTTCCGCTCTCTGTAAAACAAATAAAGTAGCTTGGGCTTTACTTAATTATCTGTAACGCTCTGTGTCATTTATCTTTCGTTTTTAGGAAGGCATTTGGAACTTCATAGCATGGGCTTTGTTGTGATACAAAAATAGGTCAACTTAAACCGAAAGAAGCAGTTAGGAGAAAAATTTAAAAAGAAAAGAAAAATTGTCATTACTTCATATAAGTCCCATATTAAATTTGGTTTTTTATTAGTGATTTCTCTTTAAACGTCCATTAACTATATAACTTGCGGTATGTTGCAAGCTTCACGTTGCAGGAGATCTCAAGTAGCAGCTAATCCAGTTCTTGTTTACAAGTGAAGTAATTAATTTTTTTTGTCGTTTCTGATTAAACGTTACTAGATACTGCCTTCAATTGGAATTCGGCTCTTGTAGCGGCGCGTGCTGTTTCGTTGAAAGTTAAAACAAACTTTGCGTGATGATAATTGGATACTTTAATATCTTTGCTCTATACGTAGCGGCGTGTATGCGTAAAAGTAAACACACACACTTGTCATTTTACTGAAAGTGAACATACTCGTTTATATACAATAAAAAATCATGTGTTTTCTTGATTTTCACTATAAACACGACATTAATTTATATATGAAAACAAAAACAAAATGTTTAGAAGTGTGCATGTCTTTTTTTTGGGGGGGGGGGTATAATGAATCAGGCATTTTTATATAGTATATCTCTATACTGTTTCAAATATTTTTAAAACACCACCGAGAGCATTAAAGGTGAGAAAATTTACTATTAACTATTTTTTATTTATTTTTTAAACTTAATGTTCTAGACGTACCACGTTGTGTATAAACATTAAATTCTGACAATCTTAAAAAAATGTTTTAGTAGAATATTTAAGATGTGGACATCACAAGACAACACATAGAGTTAATCTTAAAACGGATTTATCCAATATATTGAAATTAGTTCCTTGTATATACACGTGATGGGACACTACAGAAGAAACCTCAACATAGTGACTGTCTCGGATAGTAACCCTAGATAAAGGCAACGTGACAATAAGCAAAGCGACTTGAGTCACTATGTTGAGGTAAACCGTGTCTCTGAAGATTTGCTTATTGTCAAGTTGCCTTTATTTTGGGTTACTCAAGTCACGGTTTCAGTATCTAGCTTCCTGGCTGGAAAGTGAGCATTAGAAAATCGAATCTTTCTAGGGCATGGAATTAATATTCAAAACTTTATGTTACTAAATAATGACATAATAACTTAACGTATAAATTTCAAAGGAATTTACTTTAAAACTACTCTTAATACCGACGTCCTATTTTTCAGTCATAAGTTGTCTTTTGGCCTTACTCTATCGCTTCTTATACCACTACTGATTAAACGAATTAAATAATATGTATATTCAAATTAGATAAATTATCGCCAGGGGACAATGGAATATTATTCGGCAAGACAAGTATGTTTGAATCTTTTTTTTTTACATACATAAATAAAAATTATGTTTATAAAGCTGGGATGATATTGTTGCTGAGCTCGTAAGGAGGTTCAAATAAAAAAAAGTTACGCGATTCTGCTTTTATCACTTGTATTAAACAGTAGAAGGAAAGGTGAAAAATATGTAAGTTTATTCGTTTAATTTTACACAAATAAACAGGAGAGTATCTGCACCAGAAGTATCTCATTTTGAAGTGACAGATTAGAGGGAAGAAACCAGTAAACACCACTCACCACCAATTCACGGCCCCAAATTTCGAAGCGCGATTTTGTTTTGGCGGTAACGGGATGCGGACCACAATTCGGCATGCTAGTAACTGGGCCGCGCTAGGTCCAAATGTGTAAGAATAATATATATATATACACACACACATATAGTATGTATCATTTACATGTTTTACATATATTGAACCTTTATAATATTTTATACTTCAATTTGGATTCTCATTTAGAACAAACAGTGTCTTTACTAATGCAAAAATTATCGAATATAGTATCATCATTGTAATCTGAAAATTCCTTATATATATAAACGTGCAGTCTGTGGAAATTTAGTGTATGATTATCATTTATTCTTGAGAGAAATGAACAGTTATTTCGTAATATATCATTATTTTCCATCTTTTGCGATGACACCACTTATAAAGTTTTTGAACCAGATTTACTGAATGATGAATGCGCAGGTTGTTGGCTGTTGCTTGTCTATGTTGTCTTGAAACGTGATAGATGAAAGACATTACGTAGGTTGCAGTTTTTCACCGTTAGCGAAATGATTCCACCGGTGTATGTAAAAACACGATATAAAGATGGGTTTCTCATGTTTAGTCACACGACTTTTGAACTTACGATACACTTGACAGAAATCTATGTTTCCGTCTCCGAGTAAAAAAAAAAAAAAGAAAAGAAGAAGAAAAGAACCCTCAATAACGCACTCTGGCTCTGATTTCATTTTAAATGTTCTTAAAATAATTTTTTAAAGAGTTTCATTAGTAAAACTTATAGAATACATTTTATTAAACAAAATTAAAAATGTTTTATGACTGAAAGGTCCACTGGTAACACTGTCATAGTGTATTAATATTCAAATAAAGTTACTTTCTCTGAAATGTTACAATTCACTGTGCTCTTAAAGAAAATTCTTCCTTTCAACAGCCACGAGATAACATCTTTTAAAGTATGTGAAAAGTTAAAATCTCTTCCTTAAAAATTAAATATATTTCTTATACAACAAGATGACATATTTTAAGATAAAAAGTTACCTACTCTCTTGTCCAGACACTTAATCCAATTGGAAATTAAATTTCATTTAGTGTTATTCTAATATGTCATCACTTGTATGTTGTATAAAAATTAACCTGTCATTTCATCGCCAAGGATATGATGGATACACCAAGATGGTGGTTGTTCACTGGAATGAAAGAACATTTCCATCACACCCTAGTATAACTTCTAGTAATGCACACCACATGATATCTGAATGTAATGTAGCTTTAACATCCACCATAAGTAAAGCTGAAGGTGTAATACAGAGCAGGTTTGTGAGAGTCTTCTAACTGCAAGTGTGAAGATAGTTTGAAAATGGTTTAACTTAATCTTTTTCTTTTTTACATTCTTCTTATGTGAACAAGTCGTTTGTAAAGTCGTTGTTTTTATCATCATCATCACTATTATTATTATTACTTCATTGAACTACACGCTCTTTCATAAAGGAAGGATATCATTTTAGCTATTAGTAAAAGAAAGAAAAATGGCGTCCAAACTCAGACTTAGCAAAGCATCCTTACGTTTCTTTCGTGTAATTTGTGAAGTAATTGCTATAATGCCATAACAAACAACAAAACACCCACAGTGACCTTCGCCAAAAATCTATTTATTAGCGTGATTACTTTCAGATAATAAAACAAACTTAAGGGACGAAAATTCTAGTGCCATTCATTGGAACTCAGTTTAATTAAAGACAGTACAAAATGTAATTAACAATTTAAACCTTCTTCAGTTGGCGTTTTCCAGTTTGGCTGAAGGCTGAGAAATTTTTGCTTGTAAGAAATATTTGCAGCTGAAACTATACACCAGCAACTACAAGTTAAAGTTGGATTACACCAGCAACTACAAGTTAAAGTTGGATTACACCAGCAACTACAAGTTCAAGTTGGATTACACCAGCAACTACAAGTTAAAGTTGGATTACACCAGCAACTACAAGTTCAAGTTGGATTACACCAGCAAGTACAAGTTAAAGTGGATTACACCAGCAAGTACAAGTTAAAGTTGGATACGTTGATAAGGGATTTTTTATATCAAGTGGTAAAGAGATAATTAACAAACTAGAGGTAAAATCTGGGAAATTTGGCTAATTTGCTTCGTTTAAACGTCCATGCAATAAAATACATGTAAAAAGTCATATTAATTATGAAATTTACCAACTTTTAAATTAATGACAACAAAATGAATTTTGGGAGTTTTCTGGAGTACATATCTCTAAATCATGTGTATATTTGAATAAGTGGAAACAACTAAGATGTTATTTAAATTACTATGTTTAATATTATTTATATGGATTACAAATATATATATATATATCCATAAATAAAGGCTAAAAATAAGACAAACATCTATCTTGTTTGGTGTCTACATAATTGATATACTTCTTATGGGTATGAGCAAAAAGATGTTAAAGACACGATTGAGGTCCACACTTTTCTGTAGTTTTTATTGCATTGCTTTGAATACTAAAACAAATGTTCGATATGTTACATCTAGAGATGTAACCCAGTTTGAGTTTTTGTGTATGTTCAATGTTTGATATGCAATGAGCTTGAGATATTCATCGTGACAAAAGGTTTAAATTTGTTATTACATTATAACAAATCGGCAGGAAAGCATAAAACTCAATGGAATTAGCTTAAACCTCCCTTTAAAGCAAGCTATCTACTCAAGTCGAAACGACAGATCAATCCGACAATGGTACAGCTATCCAAATATTTCGTTCTTAAGCTCCGACTTATATAAATTGTGATTGTATTGTTCTATGATATTCTCAAATGAATTGATTTCCGCACAAGCATCAGTTAGATAGATCTGCTAATAATAGCAGGGTCGACCAGGAAATTTGTGGAATAGTCTGTATTGGAAAACTTGATTGAGTCTTCTCGTGGGATGGGACATGTTTTGAATGAAGTACAATACGTCTTCTGTTTTTATACGACATAAATTATATTTATTCAAAACTTTCCCATATTATATCATAATATGTTTTCTTTGATTCGGGCCAGTCGTGGCCTAGTGGTTAACATGCTTGGATTATGAAGCCGATCATTCATGGTTTGCGTCTCTTTGCTACAAACATTGTGCTTTGCACTTTGGGGTCATGAGTGCGCTATAATTCTGTCGGTCAAATCCCACTATTTGGGTAGACAAGAGTAGCCCAAGGTTGGTGTTGTGTGCTATTGAATTGCTAGTGTATTAGATAAACATTAGGGACGATTACGTGCGGACAGCTTTTTGTTTAGCTTTTCGCGAAAATTTTAAACAAACAATCTAGCTTCTTCGTTTCTATCACCACTATCGATGCAACAAGAAATCAGATAATATTACTTCAGACTTTATATATCTTCATACATTTTTATTACATTTAAAAATCCATCGATCCTAAAGACTTCACTAATTTTATTATTTTGTTTGTCTTACATAACGATGGCATTAACTTGTTATGATTAGTTTCATTCAACTATTAAATTCGATGACGAGAAACCCACTTTGAAACTAATAATGGTTGGAGGCGGCTTGAATGGGTAATGAAGAAAATATTTAATATAAGTTTAACATAACAGCTGTTGATTAAGTTGGTAATAATTGAATTTTTATTATTTCATAAAATATCAATAACTGAAACAGACTTTTCAGCTGAACAGTTGATGTCAGAGGACTCAGCTGTAGATCTTATTTACTTTTTAGCCGCGGCATAGCGGCTCATAGAATGGCTCTAAGTATTTTTCAGTTGCAAACTTTTAGCTCATAGCTCCATCTCTTGATCGATTTGGAATGTAATTACAGCCGCGGCTATTGAGGATTCCCTCTTGTTTTTTGCTAGCTTGGTGCACAAGCACAATTTAAAGTTTTAGAGATAACATATAACAAATACCAATACGGAATTCATGGTAAGATAGTTCATGACGTAAATGTATTCCAGATGAATAACTGTCATATCCATTTGTGGCGACCATAACGCTTTGCTGGCATAATTCTTGGTGTGGCTGTTCTTTCAATGTACCAATGATAACTACGAAGATAGAAATTCTTTATAAGCTACTTCATCAGAATATCTTGCAATATAAGTTTTTAAATAATATCTACAAGAGAGACACTGCTAGTATTTGTAAAATTTTTAAACCTAATTACTTTGTCCAATCAATCAATTTAATGCATGACCCGTCCAATGGGGCAGTGGAGTAATTTTTCATGTCCTAATTAAAAATGCTAACATCATAAAAAAGGTGATACAAGCGTGCTTGGCTGTTTTCTTCATAACCATTAACATATAAACATGGATCAATTAACTGTTTTATCAATAGCGTTCTAAAAAAGTCTCACAGTTACAAGGACCGTCAAATTGCAACTATTGCTAATCTCGTGTATATGAAACTATTAAATTATTAGCTATTCAGATATAATTTAATTTTACATAAAATATCAATTTTTGCGATAATTTAAATGGCACTGTTTTTATCTTACTTTATGGAGCTTTTAAAAAATAACATTTTGTTTTGCACTGTGATAGTGACCATATACGAGTGGGTCAGTTTGTGTGGTTTGTTTTGAACTTTGCATAAAGCTATACGAATCCTATCTGAGTTAGCCGTCCCTAATTTAGCAATGAAAGACTAGAGGAAAGGCAGCTAGTCATCACCAGTAGTCATCACGAATAGTGGGATTGATCGTCGCGTTATAACGCCTCCACGGCTGAAAGGGCGAGAATGTATTGGTGGAACGATGATTCGAACTCGCCATCCTCAGATTGCGAGTCAAGCGCCCAGTTTACCCAGTTTATGTTTATGTGTATTTATCATATATATATGATAAATGTTGTTCTAATAAATTACAGTGTATTGTTAAAACTGTTGTTATAATATACTTTTGAAGCATCAAGATAATCCATTACTTGTATTGCTTCATATTACACAAAATAATTTATGCGTAGAATGCATTCACAGAATATTCGTGTACACATAAAAGGTTCTTACTACGTTACTGACAAGATGACGGATTAGAGTTTTATATTTAAACCTAAAAAGTAATTCAGTAATTTTTGTGACATCACATCAGATGGAATTGATTATTAAGTAACTGATACTGGTAAATTGTTTTCTATACAAAAGTTAGTTTGTTGTTAGTTGAACTCACATGCAGATAATCTAGGTACCTCATTTTCCATAACTTCAATTTCTCTACTCTTTAAAAAATAACCCTCTTTTTTGACTTAATAGTAGTTTACAGGTGGGAACTCAACAATGTGTATTTATATTTTTACCACAGTTTTATTGACACCTGTAGAAAATATGTAATTCAGCATTTCACCTATTACAACAAAACCTTACCAAAGCATATTTAATGACAAAATATAACATAAAATTTTATAAATAGCGTTTGTAACCTTATATTAGTTCATATTAGACATTCAGTACCTGGTTTGTCCTCTTCGTACTCTAATAACCTTCACAAGGCGACGCGGTATACTGTCGATAAGGTTATTGATGCAAACCACCGTCATTTCATCACAACTTGTCACTAGAAGGCGCTGCAATTCAGCCACCGTAGCTGGTTTAGGGGCGTGGTTAGCAATTTTCTGCCTCAGTTCTGCTCAACAGTTTTCAATGGTGGAGACTTTGCTGGCCATGGCAATCTTGTAAAGTCTTCCTGGTCGAGATAATCCTCCACAATACACGTACTGTTTGCAGTGGCATTGTCATCTTAGAATGTAAAGTTATTGCCCCACCTTACCCTAGCATATGGCAGAAGTATCATATCCATGTGATACCTGTAGGAGGTGCCATTGACGTTTCCGTGGAGGATGTGAAAAGAACTTTTTTACACTATGATGAATAGTTGCCCAAACATATACTGAACCACCTCTGTGTGTTCCCTGTGGGAAAGACAGTCTTCCCTCATCTGTTCTCCAGGGAAACGACGAACACGAATCCTACCATCAGCTTTAACAAGCCGGAAACAGGACTCATCTAAAAAAGATTACATGTCGCTAGTGTCCTGACTGTAAGTTGGCATGCTGTCTTGCCCAAGTAGCACAGTGACGGTGGTGAATTCTGGTTAATATCGGTTTGCAGATAGCCCTTCTTGCAAAATAACCTTGTCTAGCCAGTATCCTATTCACTTGTTTTTCTGGATACCCTGGAATCAGTGTAATATTAAACATCTACATATGTAATTTGTATAATGAGACTTGTCATAAGGTGTTGCAAGACTTCTTTTGCAACCTTTTTAAATGAAAACAGGGGTGTATGTGTGTTTTGATGAACAAGAGCTCAAAACAACTTATACAGACCAGAATAACAACTCGTACATGTTTGTCATATCATACGCTACCTTCTCTGTTACTACTCGAGCATTTACTCAATACAGCATGGCCAGGTGGTTAGGGTACTCGACTCGCAATCTGTGGGTCGCGGGTTCGAATCCCCGTCACACCAAACATGCTCGCCCTTTCAGCCGTGGGGGCGTTATAATCTGACGGTCAATCCCACTATTCGTTGGTAAAAGAGTATTCCAAGAGTTGGCGGTGGGTGGTGATGACTAGCTGCCTTCCCTCTAGTCTTACACTGCTAAATTAGGGACGGCTAGCGCAGATAGCCCTCACGTAGCTCTGCGCGAAATTCAAAACAAACAAACGAACACATTTACTCAATAACTACTCCATGCATGGAGACAATAATATTAATATATAGAACAGTATGCAAACATTCCGGCCAATACTTTAGTTAAGCACAAAGTACACAATGGGTTATCTGTGCTCTGCTCACCACGGGTATCAAAACCCGGTTTCTAGCTTTGTAAAAATAAATAATAATAAATGGGTCCAGTGAAACTTTCTTTAGGATATGTTTTATTTTCCTGTGTAATATTACATACGCGTAGGACTAACGGTTTGATTTATTTTTTCGGTACGGGGTATAACCTATTGGTTGGCTTGCTAAATTGCCTGTCGCAAAAGTGCCTGTACTACACGCGGCATTAAACGTCACTT